GACGAGGACGCGCAGGACAGCACCATCTTTGTGCTCTCGGACAATGACGGCGGGCGCCTGACCATTGCGCAGACCAACGAGGTGGTCATCTTGGCAGACGCACCACTCGACTTCGAAACACAGCCCACCCGCACCTTCAACGTCACCGCAGTCGACCTCTCCGGCATCCCTGTCTCCCGCCAGTTCACTTATGAGGTTGCAGATGTGAACGAGCCACCAACAGCACCCACCATTACCCCAACTCTTGGAAACGGCGGTGACAATAGCAGCGATGTCACAATCATCCCCGTGCCCGAAACGACGGCTGTTGGAACCGTGATTGCCACGCTCGCATCCACAGACCCACAGACCCAGAAGGCACGCCCGTCAGCTTCGTTGTTGGCGGCCAAGACAGCGCGTTCGTAGCTGTGGACGGCGCTGTGGACGGCGCCTCCATCGTGCTCGCCGCTCCCGTCAACTTTGAGGGAGGCGGCAGCAGCAGCAGCGACGCCAGGTTGTTCTTCTGGGCACGAGCCAGCGACGGCGTGAACGACTCGCCCACCACCCACGCCGGCATCGCCATTGGTGACGTGGACGAGGCCCCATCGTCCATTGTGGTGTCCCCCACACGCGTGCTGGAGAATGCACTGCCGGGCGCGGTCACCCTGAGCGTCACCATCACGGATCCAGACGAAGATGACAGTGTCGTCATCACCGGCATTGCAACCGATCCTGCCAACATTGACATCACCATTCAGACGCAGCCGTCGTGTGTCAGCGTTCCGCCACGGGAAGGCAACAACGGCACGCTGGCTGCTGGGTACACGGAGTGCAGTGGTGCTGTGCTGACGCTGAACCAGCCCCTCAACTACGAGCAGCTTCCCTCCTTCGTGCTCACCTTGCACACAGCAGATGCAGCTGGCGCACAGACAACGGCGACAGGTTCAGTGGAGGTGGCAAACCTCAACGACCCGCCAACTTCGGTGGCACCTGCGACGGTGCAGCTGCCAGAGAACTCTGCCGCCAACACCACGGTCGCTGTGCTGACCGTCGCAGATGAAGATGCAGGCCCAGCCGGCACGTACACGTGTGCTCTGCGGCACCTGTCAGCAGCATCCTGGCCGTTTGTTGTCAGTGGTGGCAAGCGCGTGCTGGTTGACCCGACAGCCACCGCCAGCGAGCTCAAGGCTGCGCTGAACTACGAGGACACGCCTGTTCTGCTGGTCGAAGTGACATGCACTGACGGCTCAACAGCAACGACCCCACTGGCCATCAACCACACACTCACGGTGCAGCTGACGAACGTACCGGAGGCACCCACCGACATTGTCATTGTGCCCGGCAGCGTGCCCGAGAACTCGCCAGCAGGCGCGTCAGTTTGACGCATCCTTGTGCGCGATGAGGACGTCGGGGACACGCACACCATCAGCCTCATGTCCAACGCAGGCGGTCGCTTCCGCTTGCAGGGCGACACGCTCGTGGTGGCGAGCGGCGCTGTGCTTGATCATGAGCCAACGCCGCAGCTCTCCGTCGCGCTCGGTGCATTTGACCCGACCTTCCGATATGTCATCCGCACCATCGCCATCCCCATTGTGGACGTGAATGAACCACCGACGATGCCCATGTACGAGGGCGCGCTGACGCTCCCGGAGAACGCAGCACCGGGCACGGTGGTTGGCGAGGCGTCCGCCATGGACCAGGACGATGGCCAGACCATCACCTTCTCGATCGGGTGACGATGGGGGATGCTGTTGGTGCGTCCTCCTTCACCATCAGTGGCACCTCTGTTGTCGTTGGGCCCAGCACCGACCCTTTGACTTTGAGACACAGCCCAGTGTCTCATTTGAGGTGGTGGCGACAGACAGCGATGCCGTGTTCCCGCTCAGCGCCAGCACCATTGTCACCATCTCCCTGACAAACGCCAACGACGCCCCAAGCACGATTGCGTTTGAGGGCAGCTTCACCTTGCCCGAGAACGCACCAGCCGGCACCCCAATTGGCGTTGTCATTGCAACCGACGAAGACGCCAGTGACACCCTCAACATCACCGTGTACGAAAGCAGCAGCAGCAGCAGAATTAGTGGGGTGCGTGCGGGTGTGACGGCGTGTGAGCCGGGCGAGGGCGGTGTTGGCGTTGTGTGCCGCGCACAAGTGCTGAGCACGCACACCTTCAACTACGAAGAGCTGCTGGCGTCGTCCGCCACTATGCGCCCCATTGTGGTGGAGGTGACAGACACCGTGGGCGGCATCGCCTCTGCTTCTACCTCCTTCACTGTGCTTGACGTGAACGATGAACCGACGGACCTCGTTGCACCCGCCCTGCCGCTTCTCCTGCCCGAAAACGCCGTGCCGCTGCCCTACACCGTGTCCACACTGACGTTGGAGGACGAGGATCAGGTGCAGGTGTCGCCGGTGTCCTGCACCGTGGATGGCGCGTATGCAGACAGCTTCGTGGCCACCGCAACACAAGGCACGCAGCGCATCGCGGTGCAAGCAACGCGCACCTTTGATTATGAGGAGGAGCCCGACACCTTTGACATTGCAGTGGCGTGCCAGGACGGTGCGTTTTCCATCACCCGCACGTTCCCTGTACGCGTGCTGGATGAACCAGACGCACCAACCGCCATCACGCCCATGCAGATCAGCGTGGCCGAGAACTCGCCCGTGGGCGCCCTCGTTGGCGAGATTACTGCCGTCGACCCCGACACTTTTGATCGGCACTCGTTTGCGTTTGTGGACACGGCGAACCTCCCCTCTGACCATCGTGGACGACAGCACCGCTGACCGCTCTGCACATGTCATCGTTGGCACGCCAGCACCTGGGCAGGCGGCCCTCGACTTTGAGGACGAGAGCGTGCGCGAGACCACGCTTCTTGTGCGGGTGACAGACTCCACAGGCCTGTTTGCCGATGTGAACGTGACGCTCATCATCACAGACGTGGACGAGCCCGTGCCGTCCTTCACTGTTGCGCCTGCCGCTCCCATCCCTGAGCGCACCACGTCTCCAACGCTAGCAGCGACACTGACGGCGGTTGACCCCGAGGGTGACCTCGTCACCTTCACCGTCACGGACGAAAGCCAAGCAGTTGCCACGGGCGCGCGTGCATGCCTCGCCGTCATCCCTCCTGTCATGCCTGCTGCCGCCACCATGCCCAGCGACACCATTACCACAATTTCCACCACAACCACGACAACGACAACGCCCGCTCCGGCCTTTACGGGCAGCGGCGATGGCACCGTGGTGAGCAGTGGTGATGGTGATGCAGGCGCAGATGAGATTGTGGACACAACCGCCACACCTGTCTCAACAACAGACGCTACAGGCACTGTCCCTACCCCTGCTGCCGATCCATCGCAGACAGAGTGCCGGACATCCATGACGGTGACCTCGTCTGATTCTGTGGTGCTCATGATTGTGCCTGGTGCGGATGGCCTTGACTGTGAGCGCTGGCCTGTCTTCAACGTCAGCGTGCACGCCAGCGACATGATGGACACCACGAGTGGCATCACACATGACGTTCCCGTGTACGTGCTGGATGAGCCGGAACCCCCACGCGATGTGCAGCTGACAGCGACCGCCGTGTCTGAGAGCACAGCGGTTGGCACCATCGTGGCACGTGTGCAGGCGGAGGACGATGACGCTTGTTCCCAGCTCACCTTCGCCGTGCATGACCCCACCAACACGTTTGTGCTCGCTGCGCCAATGAATGCATCCGGCGTGCAGTGTGAGACATCTGCTGCTGATGGCGTTGGCGCTGTGTGCAGTGCACCATTGGCACTCACAAGGCCGCTCAACTGCGAGCAGCAGCCATCGTA